TGCCCTCTTTTTTGTTTTTCATCATGGACTCCAACATGTGCAACACTTATTTGCACTTTCAAACAAAGCAAAGGAAAAGGATGTCCCATGTCCCCGGTAGAAAATCTGTCCCTAGAAATGCGTCTCCCAGGTATGTGCTTAATATTTGTTCCACATTCAAGTGACTGACCCACTTCAGCAAATCCCACTCACTACCAGCAGCCCAGCACTTCACAAGCATGGGCCAATTTTGAAGGAAACGCTTCTTAAATATGCAAATTTAGCACAACTGTCGCTATTGATTCTGACTTTACCTCCCTCCCTCTTCTCACGTAAACACATTTCATGTATTTCCCACGCACACGGATCAAACCAAGCCCCTTCAAAGCACAGTTCATAGCAAGGCTTGTGCCAGCAGCTGCTCTGCGCTGTACTAACTGCAAACTGCTACGCCACGCTAGAGACACGGCCAGGCAAAACCTTTCACTCGCTCCAGAACTGAGTTTGCTAAAGGAAGAAAAAGTTCCTGCTTAAACTGTTCTTTCGAACAGCCCCACTACCAGCGCCCGCTGCTGCCCGTCCCTGCTCACTACGAACCACAGCAAACCGTGGGGCGCGTGCCGGCGAGCCCGATCTCAAAAAACGCAGGTTTTAGTCTTCCTGCCAAACCACCAGGGCTGCGGGACGAACTACGCTCCTGCTTCTCTCGCCGAGCAGATTTTCTGTGATGGGTACCCCGTCCACGCGGTGTCTGCTGACGGCAGCAGCGTACGCTGCACAACGCCACTCGCTCTCACCAGCAGGAAGCAGCCCAGGGACAATAAGGATTCAAAGAAACCTGCACACACCTAATGGCATGGAGAGGAGGCACGGGCTGGTCCGATAGGGGTCTGAGGCTCTGGGAAAGCTACACGTGATTTTTCACTAAGATAAAGAGGAGAATGGAAAAAGCTGCAGCGATTACGCCATATAAAACAACTCTTTACCAACTAAAGACAGTCTAGAGAACAGTTCCTGCAGTTCCCTCCTATTGCGTTTAAATGTTCACCAGGCTTCTGCTGGACACAGGAACGTTTGCTTGATGGAAATGGCTGCTGATTTTCTTACCCTCCACAGCTCCAGCTCCAACACTGCTTCTTCTTGTGTTCATGGGAGCCACAAAAAACCACTCATTGGTTTTATAGCTATAGGCCTCAACTGATGCCAGACCTAGTTAAAAAGGGGATACACAGGTTTTCTAATTAAAAAAAAAGAGAAGAAAAAAAGATTGGTGTTGCACTTCCATCTGCCTTCCACCTCCTCCCAAGCCCGTAATTCCCCCCACGCTCCTGCAACCCAGTTTTCTAATCCCTCGCCTTTCAGCTGGTGCCAGCATCTCAACGCCACTTCTTCAGCAGCTGGAAAAACTGTTACCCCACGGCCCCTGCCCTGGGACCGCTGCCCCCCCGGGTGCGCTGGGGACAGCAAGGTGGAGCAGAGTCCAGATTCCAAGCCCAAAAGTCCCACGTCCTTTCAAGCATTACAAAACGTCCATGCAAAGGTTTGAAAATTCCCGGAGAACCCATTGCACTGTACCCATCACCAGCTGAAACCGTGAGTTCAGGGCTTAACCAAGTGGCAAAGCTCTGCAGCAGAGGCGTGACTCTAAACAGGCCGTTATGCCAAGATAAATCCCAGGCACACGTACCCCGTAAGATGCCTTTTTATTCATGTTGCTATGAAAAATTTAACTAAAACAAGGGAAAAAACCCTTTTCAGTCTAGAATAAGCGTATTCATGCAGAGAACGAGACTGAAAGAACTGTATCGCTAAAGAAAAAAACCGAGGGTGAGATACTGTGCAATTACTGATGGGTCAGAACACGCACGGGGCTCGTTGCCACACGCAGTAAGCCCCATCGCTGGCTCCCTCTCTACAAAATCATAGAGGAAGGGCGCAGGAACCTCACTAACACTCAGCAGCTTTTGTAGGGGTCTCTGAGAACATTTTTTTGGGGTCAGGCACTGCCCGATTTTTGCTCAGTCACCTACCGGTGCTGCCATCAAAGCCGCCCACTGCATAGAGGAGATCATTGAGCACGGCTGCGCCCAGCGTGCTTCGCCTTTCCTGCATGCTGGCTATGGACGTCCACTGGTCCTTCACGCCGTCGTACACATCGACCGTCCGCACCCGTAAGGACCCGTTAAAGCCCCCGACAGCATAAACATTGCCAGCCATAAACACCACACCTGATAAAAGAGAAGAGAGATCTTACGGAGGTTTTACAAACAGCTTGGGAACGGAGCATCGTCGGGCGTCTGTCGAGGTGTGTGTGACAGCAGGGGAGAGCAGAACGCGGGCAAGTCTGGCATCTCCTGCAGGTTGGGAGCACTGGGGCCAAGAATGGTAAAACACACGTGTCATATGGAAGGTGAAACGCACATAACTAAACGGCAACATAAGGCACAGATGGATTTCACACCTGGGTAAGTAATTTTCAGAGCCAGAGAGGATACCAAATGGTGATCCGCATTCGCAGCCCGCTCGGGTGTCTGCGGGGGAACACTCCCAGCTCACGGATCTGCTCTCCATCGCCCACTCCTCAGCACCGAGGACTGACTCAGCTCCGTTGATTTTCACCAGGAAACCAGCAGTAAAATTGGATCCCTGCGGGCTGCCAGGCCAGCGGGACGGGAGGAGGGGAAACACTGATGGGAAAGAGCAGGAAGGAAGATGCTTGAGGCCAGGGCACAGGGGAAGGCTGAAGGGACAGCTGAGGACATCCAGCCAGCCCTGGAGAGGGAAAATGAAGAAGGTTGCAGGAAAGGTTCCTGTTACCTGCTCTGCACCTCCTTGAGGGAAGCTCAGCCACCTGATCCCACCGCTCCTCCTCAAAATCGTAGCACTCCACACTGCGGATGGCTTTGGGCGCTTGCCCTCCCACCACGATCATCACCTGGAGAGGGAAGATGAGAGGTAGAAAACCTCAGCCACCAGCCCGGGAAGCTGCTCCCTGCAAAGAAACCATCGGCACGACCTGGTCAAGAGCAGCTGCTAACAACACGCTGCAGGCCCACGAAAAGCTTCTGCAGGGGGGGAAAAATTATCTCTAGCTTAATGCACACTAAATATGTCGGCACCATTAACCACTCCTCACCATTTCGGTGGCGGGCAGCCTGCCCCGTTTCCCCGTGAAACACAAACCCGCTTGGCGCCGCGGCACACGCACGACTCGCTGCACAAGCATGTTTAAGTGAAGATCCCAGCATAATTTCCAGAGCCAGCCCACTGCTTAGTCATTATCTCCATGGCAGCACTAAAAATAATTGATGCCACTTAGCAAATAAAACCTGACAGCTGTATTGCCACCTGCGGGGAAGGCAACACGCGGGGAAATCACCAGGACTGTTAAGACCCGGGGTGCTGGGCTGCCGAAGGAAGTCATTTGTCAGCTTCATTAGGGCTTTTGGCTGTAACATGTATTGATGCAAGTCTAGTAATTAAACCCTAAATTCCTCACTGATAGGGAAGATCTATGTGAAGGTGATCAAGGGCAAGCTCAGGAGCACAAGGACCACTCTGCCGGACCAGCCTAAAGGTCCGTCCAGCCCCAGGCTCCGCTCCCAGCAACGGCAAGCGGTGGACACCGGCAGAAAAGAGCAAGGACCTGGATGGCATGCAGGGTGGCCCTTCCCAAACCTGTCCCGTCTGCCGCCAGCAGCCAAACTCCCCATGGACTCTCCCAGGGCAGTGGCCCCCGGAGGGTGGAGCTCAGCACTGGCGGGCTGCC